ATCATCTGAGGTGCAGTCAGTGGGAGAGTAGGCAGAGACGACGAAGAGGCAACGACGAGTGTCCCTATCTTTTCGAGTCCTTACTGTTCCGTTTAGTCGGACAGCGCACAAATGACTGTCTACTGTGATCCAGTTTAAGGGAGTTGGTTCTGACCTGGTACTCAATGCTATACCTACGCCAGCGAGGCCACGGGAAGCAGCATCAGGGCTTCCAGATACACGAAGCGTAAATCGGGTTGGTTCGTTACTTTGATATGGTGAGGTCAAATGAATGACACTACTAGGATCCTGTGTGCGCGTTTCGGAGACGCATCACACATGGATGGCGCGAGATTCTAAAGCCCTAGCTAAGGAAGCCTGTTGTCCTATTTTGCACAGTGTTCGGACGTGTAGTTTAGAGCGTGGTTTCAGGAGACCATGAATAACGTTCCGCGTGCTCGAATCGTTTGCACTAGCGGAGCGAGGTGATAAAGGGACGTGAGAAGGGTTAGTCGTGGAGATAAGAGAGTTATAAGGTGGTGTAGGAAGTATTTGAATGTGACCAACTTGGTCTCGTGTGCTGTTACGGGTATGAGGGCTGATGTCTTTTCACGGCTGCCCACACAGTGAAAGGGTATTTCTTGAGGAACCTGAAGAGGAAATCAGATTAGTGTTCGTCTTAACGACCTGGATATCTGACCGCAAAGCCCAAAGGACAACTGCTTGAGGCCGGTCGCGCGCGGCTTATTGTGGGAAGTTTTTAATGTGCTATTTCCGTTCTTCAAACGGCCTTACCGCCGGAGACGGAAGTCCGTGAGGTAAGGTGATGTGTAACATTTTTAGGGTCAACCTTTTCTAACCCCTTCCGTCCTTATGAGAAGGCAGCATCGCCGCATTTTCGGGTTGTCCGAGGAAAACACCTTAGTGCTGTCACACCTCTGTTCAGTCAGCAGTACGACTTCGCCCTCAGACCTTAAGTTGCTGCTTTTAGTCTTACCGTTCTCCGATCGACCTGCCTGGCATGGTGGAACCGCACGAACACGTGTTCCAGCCAATATAGCTCGTTTGGGTCATTACGATAGGCAAGCCCGACCACCACGTCAAGGTGGCAGCTACGGTTGGGCGTTGTATCTTTGAGTCTCCGTCTACAAAATATACTCAACAAAGAAGTGACGCTACAGTGGGGACAAGTCGAAAAATAAGTAGGAATCTTTTGTCGCAGCTAATGATGGGTATAGACTTGATTTTCACCGGTAAAATACTGTAGGACGACATAATAGAGATGTGAGGTAGAAATCAAGTAGACGGGTAGGAAGCTCTCAAAATGATAAAACATGTAAAAATCATGCTTCTTATCACAGGACTTTTGGTATAGAACGTTCAATATTTGAAAAGCTGTTGTACGGTACATTGCAACCTTTATTTACTCCAAATATTTTACTAGAGCATTGAACTAACTTGTCTGGACATATTGACGGGTATTTTTAGCTTTATTGGGATCACTATGATTTAAATTTTTGTTGAGGTGGCTAAGGACTCAGATAAAAAAAATCGGTGTATAGATATTGCGAGGAAATTGTGTCTTATGAACATGTTATTGGAAAGCTTATTTGTAGAGCACTTTCGATATTTTTATTTCACCTTTTTTTATCTAACAACTCTGATTACACATAGATTATTACTATTATAAGGCGGGTACTTGTGATTTGTGGTTAAAAAGTATACTACCGTGATGAAGATCGCAGAATAACACCACAAGTGTACGTAGAATTTATAGATTACAGCAAAATACTGGGTGAATGATATCTAGTGTTTAATACAGATATGACAGTTTTAAATACTAAACATATAGTAATAGTTCTATATGGAAATTTTACTTCCATAACATTCCAACATCTCAAAATTGAATCTTTGGTTAGAACTCCGTCAGAATGATCAGTGCATTAAAATGTTTGGACGCCATTTTCACTATCAAGGAAAAGAACACAAGAAAGACATTCCTATTGTTTTGCTAACAGAATTTTAAAGTAGCATTGTTCAGTAACTTAGGGATCGTGACAGCGGTGACTGAATAACTTATAATCCATGGGTGTGCATCACTGCATGAACTGCTTCTAGAAATAGCGTGTTAAACATCTTTAGTGCCAAAAGCAAAGTAACCAAATTAGACTACGGTTGCAGAATTTCAACTAAGGTTTGGACTGAAGAATAACCGTCTAGGTAGTTTAGATACGCGCAAAATCTACAACTGAAGGTATCAATAGTGTAACGACCGAACTGCCAGTATTCGGTCTGAACGCAGGACTGACGAACCAAAACGTATTCGAGTAGGCCAGACTACGCTCTTCTGTATAGACCACTAAGCGTTTTTGAGACACTCGTATTAAATTATATCAAAACACAAATTCTGTGCTCAATTCACACGGTTTTAATTTAAGAAATAGAACAAATTATATCAAAAATACAAAATACCTCAAACGGTACAGCCTGTGCTATACAGTCAGAAGTTTCCCTAACGCAAAGTAGCGCGCTAAACAATAAAAGAAACAGCCAATACCAAAGGATTTGACACCTGAGAATCAACAAATATATTCCCAACAAACGGGATCGAATATCTATCTGCAAGGATTCCAGAAATCCTCACAAGCAGACAGTCAAAAGTTTAACAGTCACACTGAATCACGCCGTGACCTTGAGTTTAGTCGAACACGACCTCACTGTCAATAGTCCGGCAACATGCAATAAAAATTAGGTTACAAAAGGATAAGTGTTTAATCAAAACCACATAATAAAAGCTCAAACGAGATCTGAACAAAGGTTAGAATATATGACAGGGAGAAGAAACAAATAAATGAAAATACTGTCCAACAAAAAAGGCTGTGGAGGGATTTTCATCGTTCTCTTTCGTTACAAATAGGAACAAACTACGAGTGTATACATGGAGGGATTATTACACACTTGTGGGGCCCGTTGAGTTTGTCGTTATTTAGATCTGACGATAATGCCGAAGGGCTCTCCACTTTAGTGGCCCATGATCAGACTCCAAATAGATCGCATGAATTATTGCTATTGCCTACCCTCGTATGTAATTACTGACTTAAATCGCGTTTGTCAGTAACGGAGTTAAATAAGTCAAATAACGAGAATGGAATTTCGGATACATATATTTTGTATGGTCGTTGATTCAGACAAACGAACGGGGAAACGATGAGTAGAAAAGAAAGCAAAGCAAAAATGATGCGCGGTGGAGATGGCTGGTAAGATAACTCCCCATTTAACCAAGTGTTAATCAATATTTATAAGCACACAGAAATAAGTTACAGACATATGATGAGTAATGGGATAAGAAGTGTACACACAGTCAAAATTGATAAGCGAATAATTAACAAGGTCAAGATGTGGTTATCTGTCACATTCTACTCCAAACGTTAATATTGTGAAAGAAGGAAAATGTACAATGTTATTTAAAATAATCAAATCTTCTCCCACGATAAATGGAGGTTTTATTGGCGAAATAACTGTAACTATTTGATTATTGTGTATATCTTCATTCTTTTAGCATATGTGACGGCATATATAACAAAACTGACAAGAAATGTAGTCCTCCACATGAAGTTTATGGGGACTGACAGAATCACTATCGACATCTTCTCGAGTAATGCATAAAATTAGCCGTTTGGAAGAAACCATTTGATACGTGAGTATGTGGGCTACTTCCGTGTTAAATCATTTAATTTACCAGCTAAACGATCACAAAGTCGAATATGTAGTTGGTCTACGGAGAGGTATCTAAATACTTCAGTCTGTAGCTGCGGAACAAATAGCATGGTCCTTTGATTTGAAACGTGTCCTGAAAAATGGAAAAGATTATTCGGCAATCTTTTAGGTGTATCCTGAAATAAGCAATATGATACGACTCAGAATGTACAAAATGATGTAGAGTTTACTGATCATGATCAAACACCGTAAACAGTCAGTTATTTTTCCACTAAATGCCATCAGTAAAAAATTCAAATCTCGTGGTTCTTTAAAATCTAAAATCACACCCCTACGTGTCAAAGGCAACGTTTATATTAACTCTGCAATGGTAACTTTGCAATACATTTTTATCTAGTTTGTTAGTCAAACTTCTTATCTAGTTTTGGATAGCTTTATTTCGCTCTGGCTAAAGTGTGCCAACAAGGTTTTATTCTCTTTACCATGAAAAGACAAGAAGTACATAAGAGTTCATTCAAAAATGAAATACAAAATCAGATCTTGGTTTGAAGTTTGAGTGTTTAATGAAATCCCTGAAAACACCTAATATCCGTTATAATAAACGAGTTTGGGCAGCAACCTTAACATGATTTACGGTGTCTTAAATACAAATGGAGATCCTTTGGTCACTTAACTAGGTTCGAACCCTTGGAGAATGGATAAATTCAGGTTAGAAGCCTAAAGTGTCAAGTTGGGTTGTCGGAACTCCCTATATCTCAAGTTCTGTACACGAAATCCCCGAGGTTCTTTAAGTGAAGAGTTGATATTTTCCTAATGATTCAGAATAGCGCTCCATTCAGATTTACTAAGACTTATTTTGTCACTTCCCGTTAGAAGGTATCAGTGATCCGTTTTTATCAGTCACGGAAGCATGTTTAAGTGATGATTCTTTTATTCTATCTGCATTTATTTAAACCCATTTCAAGCTCGTTCGATGTAGATATTTATATTTGATAATTTTGTTATTTGGTTATATTCTCCTTGAAAAAGCTTGGACCAGATTGCCAGCCAAAACTTTGGGTTTACTTCAAATTTATCCACTGAGATTTTACAAATACATTTTTCCTCTTTAATGTTGTTTGATGTTAGTCTCTTATATACTTTCAAAACTTATTATTCTCATTGTGACTCACAGGAACATTTCAGGACAATTTCTGCAATCTAAGGTTTGAATCTTGAAAATTCATACTAACAGTGCATTTGTTTAACCGGCACGAGTATAAACTACAAACATTTTAGGCGGGAAGTCTGTCGTCGTCAATATTATGGAATTTCAGCGTAAGGGATTACGGCTTTTGAATACATTTGAACATATAGAACCAAAGAAAGTACGGATCTTTTTATACAGCATTGTGGTTTAGACACAGCTCTCAGTTGAGAAAAAGCCTGGAATAATAACTGTCAAACATTTTGTAAAGAAGCCAATTGCCAACAAACCCGTTGTCAACAAAGTTGCTCCGTTTATTATTTTCCAAGACCCTGTTGAAATTCACTGTCAGCATTGTGGTGCTTTGCGCTCTAAGAGCCAGAAGGATCATCCTAATCCTCCAAAAGAGTATAAGGAAACTGCTTCCCAAGTAGAAGACATAGACCTTAATGCTTGGTTGTGTTCAGGTAAGATTCTGATAAATATTCTTAAATACAAGAGCATCCACCTGAAAAGTATTGGGAAACCATCGCGGAACAAAGGCGAGTGGCTTTAAAGGAAACTTTAGATGAAAATATGGAGGTAAGATGGAGTCGTCAATGCTTATACTTATAGCTGTGTGCACTCGTTGAAAAACTGAACCTTGAAATCGAAAGACTAAGTACCATCGCTTCACATGCTGATCACTTTGCTTCAGTGTACAACGTAAGTGGCTGGTTGATTACGTTGTAAATTCATAATGTACCTTAGACCAAACATCGTTTAGACTGGTAAAACTTTCGGTGTTTAATCGAATATTAAGCTGACGAAGTAGTTTTTAGGTGCTTTTTTCCAGTGTCTCTTTGCGCCAATTATACATGTCTTTAATGTTTTGCAGTCCTTTCTGATCCCCAATCAGCTTGGCGCGATTGACTCAATCAACTGGATCTTCAAACCTGGCACTTGTGTACATTGGTCTTAGTCGCCATAATCCATTTTGACAGCTGGGTGGAATTGTCAGAACAAACCCCATATTAGTAGAAGTAATGGTATTGACGGTAGTAAAAATTAGGGGTTGAATCTAAGTTTCAAAAAAATATAAAATATTGAAACCTAGGAAAAATTTGTGAGTAGTTTAAAAAAAAATAGGATCAAAGGTAAGGCAAAAGTACTCCGCCAATGTGGACAATTTGGTGCTGTGTTACTCAGTCTAACGATTGGTTATAATAATCACCTGAACCCCAACCAGATACTCCGCACCTATTAACATGGCCTATCCCAATAGTCATTGTCTTCGTAAGTTGGAGCTGTGTGTTGGCTTGGCCACCCCTAGCTTCCTTCCATCCTACACTAGCCATCATTGCGCGACGCGGTAGTTGGTTTCTGTGGGTACGTGATATTTTTGCTTACTATCTCAGTTGATAAAGATCCACTACTTCATCAACCGATTTGCTATACTTACCTAGTACTGTGTGTCTAACTGAATGATTCTAAAGTATACGAGCAATACCCTAAAGACATGACCAGTTACTATTAACCTAGGCGTACTATCTTTTTAAGGGCCATGTTTCACGGAGCAGGCTGGTACACTACAGACCTGCCTTTTGATTGGCAGACATTGTGCTTGTGTCACAAGTGACTCAAGTTTCTAAAAGCCAGCCGGGCTTTCTAAATTCGTGTCAGGATCCCGCCACATAAATCAAATGATTCATGCGGCGCTATCTATTTGGTGCCTCGTTGTACCAATGTTTATGTACTTAAATAAAATAATAAATAAAACGTCGAATTTCTTAATTTATCGGCGAGCCTATACATAAAGGTAGTAAAAATGCGTGTAATTGAGCGGAAGTTGGAAACGTGTTTAAGAAAGCTAACGAACTTACGCTGTAAGTCTGCAAATAACCCGATTGTTTTACTTTGTGTCAATAGTTTACATGATCTGGATAATTCCTCGTTGCTGCGCTTATTTTCTGGTTTACTTTTAGCAGATGTTTAAAGAGCAAGAAGCACACAGTAATCTCTCCACAGAGCCTCAGGATCCCAGCTGTGAACCTAACCCAGCACAATTGACGTGAATACTTCATACCGGGCTTTATGAACTAAGTCTGAAGATTTCAACCTTAGATTTTGTGATTACTTCTGTACTTGTGTATAATTTCATGATACTAATAGATATGTTATTAATGTCTTACACTTAGTACTGGTGCACTGTAATGGTTCCATGTGGATTGTTCTACGTTTTTCTTATTTCACAAAACAAATTATTGGAATGCGCAGGGGATTTGATCAAGTCTAGTTTGGTTTAATATATTATTCTTGGTGTATTAAGTTAGCATATGTGTTCAGAATCAAACAGGTTTATGTTGTCACTGTGAGCTACGGCCTAGACGAAATATCATTTTGTGAACATATGTTTGGGGTCTTATATTACGGAAAAATTGGAAACCTTCCCATTCCGTTCACTTATCAAGTATTAAGACACTCGGTTTCAGTCAGGGATTCGTAACCCGCTCCGTCAACTTCATTTTGGAACACGCTTCATTAGCCCTCACACAAGCTGTGCTCCTACACTAAGAGCACAATGTCCGTTGTTGGTAAGTTACTTGAACTAACTCTTCGCGTGGAGTTACCGTACCTTAGAATTTACTGGTAACTCATAACCATATATTTAGGTGAAACGTACATGTGCAACACCACCCTTACGTATGAGCCAATATTTAGTTGGAACGAAAGTCAGTTCATAGGTGGGTTCCAATACTTAAAAAATTGTAATTATAATACTAAGAGTCACTACTGACAAGTCTCTCGTTCATTTAGTATGGTTGGTTGTAAGGAAATATATCTAATCACATAAAGTTTATTCACAAGCTTTCACCACCAAACATCAGTTTAACGGAGCCAACAGTCATTAGATCTTCCTAGGAAGTAGGTAGATAAGACGTACTTCTGTAGGAAAGAGACTCATGATGTTCAGGTTCGCCTTTGAAATTTAGTGGTATCTGTTTTGAAAATGTTCCTGAAATTTGGTTCTTAGCGGAATCGTAATCGACTTCATGTAGTACTGAAATGAGTAATTCTAGAGTTCTCGAGGATGCGTTATGTAAAGTTATTCCAGTCAGTTGCTGTCATTATTTTAGGTAATGTTTACTCGCAGTTTGGCAACACATTGAAATTATTAAAATGTTGGTTGGTACAGGAATGATTCATGGAAACCATGTCTTGAAACCCAATTAGCCCATCATTTCGACAAAAGCGCGTTTAGTGTGATAGATATGATCCGTTTCTTAGATGGAGCTTATTTTCGTAAACTAGGTATCTCCCGTTGCTTATTATTGAGTGATAACGTGAACAAATCTATTTGTGTAAAGTGATGAACCGTTGGACGGATATATAACGGCCACAACTGTATATGCATACATACTCTCGGCAAGTTATCACCCAGCAAGAAACAAGTGTCTTCCGGTCGTAAATGGTTAACGATGGATGTAATACCTGGTATGAATATGCATAGGTCGAAGTTAGTGATTTGAAGAGCTACTCATGGGGTATATAGTTCAAGAATGTGCAAAGTATTGTATGACACTAAATTCAAAGTCTAGATGAAAGAAATGGACGTAACTACATGAGTCGGGCAAAATTTTGGTCCTGTCATTCAGAGTATCCAACCATAGTTTATTAATATTGCATGAGTTCTAACTAGGAAGCCTCCACATGGTTTAGGTGAGCATTCATAAATGTTCTGTGCTAATATCACGTTAATTTGTCATCTCTTTCTCCTAACATTGCCAGCCACTGGAATATCAGGGTAAGCAGTGGCTAAAAATGCGTCGCATTTGTAATTACTACTTTTACTTATGAAGGTTTGTCACTTTCCACCAACTTATCATCTTCACTTTACTCCTCGCTTCCACACTGGTCAGTCGGAGTTTCATCATATACACACTGTTTCAAAGGATTCTGTTAAATACTCGGAGCTTACTCATGTATCATGCTTCTATAGGCTGCTGTGCAGTATACTCGTTTTTTGCTCGTTCAATAAGAGAAGCAGAAATTCTTATGCCAAGATCCAATTAGCCATCAGACTCCCATGCTTGGTGAGGCTGCTAAGTGAAGCGGTTAACACGCTCGACTACTTCACTTTGTATAATGAATCTAGGCTTGACGCTGATGAGTTCCAGGAAGGTGTTCTTCATTTATAAGCAGGGTATGCAGTGAGTTTGAATTAGATCAGTCTTATTTCAGCATAAAGTTTTTAGTACGTTGGCTCAGTCCATTTATCAATGACTTCGTAGACGGGTGCGAAGTCTTTGTTTGGCCACGTCCTACACCAGATAACATCGCTCGTCGAAGGTGGTGGGCGGGAATATGTAGTACATGTCTCAGCTATCTCATTTGATAAAGAATTTGGGTATACTGCATATGTGGATGACACGAAGTTCGAAAGTTTTAGTTCCTGAAGCTTGTCATTTGGTTTTATCCAGACTGGTGTGTACTTGAAAGTGGAGTTCCAGGAGATCGGTGTGGACATTTGGTTTTCTCGAGTCGTTTGTATTTTTTATGTATATTGGACAAGATAAAGTGAAGGGAAGACTTTACAATAGAATAGAAAAGTATAATTTATCTGTATGCTGCTAGATGTATACGATGATTATGACTTTCCAGTCGCCTTTACCATAGAAGGTTTTCTTTTTAAGAAAAATAGGATGAAATTTAAAGTTGTACTGACCTTCGAGCGTGATAATAAGATCTATTTGGGCAATATCACTTACTGAAAAGAGTTTATAACCTACTAAGTAGCACAAGTTGTAACTTTATTTGATGTATGAAATTCACATAAGATTATGATCATTATCATCTTTAGGTTGTTTAAACTCACTATGTTCTACCAGTTTATTTTATTTATTATTTATTTTAACACATAGATACCGGTACAAAAAGGCACCAAATACATATGCACTACACAGATCTCATTGGATATTTGTGAGGGCTGTTATACTGCTCGGGTGCCCACACCGAAATAGGTGGTTTTCTTAGGGGACCAAACCCCGAGCCTTCGATATGAACGTCTAATTCACAAGGCAGTGGAGCATCGTAAGGAGATGCAGTCCCATGGTAGCCGGTGACCAACGATTGGTTCATAAGCCATTTGTTCCTTCAGGATACTGGAGCCAGCCCATGTGCACCATTGGTTTGGGATCCGGTTAAAGCCAGTGCCGGACATTCACTTTTCGTCCTCTCATTTTCGTAAACAACACCCGTAATGTGAGAAGTCAGTGAGTAGGACTTCCGTGACAGAGGTTATATACGCGTGGCCATGTGAGAGCATTTCGAGAGGGAGAGTGGACTGTCCCCACTATAACTTTGATCAATTTTAAATGTAGTTCAAAATTCAATCTACATATCATCAACAAATATTAATGTATTTACATTTGTAGTTAATTTATTCAACATTAAAATGATCAAAATGTAAATGTGAAAAAAAAAAGAAAAATAGAAGTTGAACAAACAAACAAACAAACAAAAAATGAAACAAACCCCACATCAAACTGACATTAAACTATTACATTCTCTTAATTTAGATTGTTTTAATATACAAAACGCCAATATCAATCAATGATTTACACAACAAATTAAATTCATTTGTTAAAATATCCCCAAATTCGCTAATTCATTCATTCAATGCAAGTCATTTATGATCATATACTATAATTAGATTTAATTGTTAATGATATTTTGACTTTGTTCGAGATTTTCTTCTGATAGAATGATAATCCTGGTGATGGTGTTGTTGTTGTTGTTGTTGTTGTTGTTGTTGATGATGATGATGGATTGATGGGAGTTCTCGTGTATTTGATAATTTCTTATAATCTTTATTACTACTCATAAAGTGATTAAAGTAGTTTAATCCAGAATCACTAGATTTACATCGTGTATTAATTGATCTATTTATTTGTAAGAATGTTAAATCTCTGTTATTCACATAATCATTATTATCTTCAGTATAATATTTAATTCTATAATTATTCAATTCATTAGTTGATTCATATTGACTTGATTTAATGTTTGTTTTATTTAATTCATTATCTAATTTATCATTTTTAGTTATTTTTATATCTTCATTAGTTTGTTCATCATCTTGTTGAATAGTTTGTTGACAATAATTTGCTAGAAAACTTTTACGTCTAGCTGCATGACTATCAGTTTTAAGTTGTTTAAGATGAATATTTTTAGAATATATTCTTGATTGTAATGGATTGATTATAGAAGATGGAATGCTCATTGATTGTGATCGTTGAACACCTTGATCATCATCATCATCATTATCATCATCATCATCATCATCATATAGATCACTTGTATTCTCATCACTACTATCAATCACTGGTCTTAATGAAGGTTTAAGTAATTGTGGATCAATAATATTTGTATCACTACCACGTGTACTTTTAAATAGATAATCTTTCCCTTTAAGTGTTTTCATTTTTGTTTTAATGAATGATCTATTATTATTATTATTATTATTATTATTATTATTATTATTATTATTATTACTATTATTAGCATATTCTTCATCTGATATGGATTGTATTTGTTTTATAGATGTTAAATTATAATCAGAATTATAATGATTTAATAATAATGATGATTTATTGATTGGTTTATCATTTTTCTTATATTTAGAATCCAATTCATTCTGGGAAGAACATGTTGTTGCATGTATATATGATGGATATGGATCATCTTCATGATTATAAAGGTTAGTATTATTATTATTATTAATGGTCAATAAAGGGGAGTGTGGTGGTGGTGGTGTAATATTTTGTTGATTTAAATCTATGTAATGTTTTGTTAAGAATGTATTATTATTATTATATTGTTGATGGTGGTGGTGGGGGTGGTGTTGTTGTTGGATATTTGTACTGTTTCTATGTGAATAAAAATGATGTAAATTATTTAATTTACTTGGTGATAAATATGTATCAGCTGATTTATGTCGATTATATTTGTAATTTAAATTTTGATAAGATAATGAATTAGAATGATTGAATTGTAATAAATTATTTGGTATTAATTTATTCTGATCATTTAGATCATTCATATTTGGATGATGTAATTGAATGGAATCATTCAATAGTATAGAATTATGATTATCATTAATTAAATAAACTTCATGTAGATTATTTGTTGTATTATTTAACATTGAATGTTGTACATTTAATATATCATCATCCATCATAGATGCACGTCTTGATGCTGGACTAAATATTAAATCTGGTGGTATCAGTTTTTCTAATGGTTTAATTTTATCATTTTGTAATAAAGTAGAAGAATTGAATATTGTATTGTTACTATGGTTATTATTATTATTATTATTATTATTGCTACTAGGTAATATATCATTATTTAATTTTGATTTTAATTCTTTACATTGAAATATAGAATGATTACTATTTACTGAACCACGTCTTGATGAAGTATTGGATTGGGTTAATGTTAGATTATCTTTTACTTTTAATAATGTTGTAGTATTTTTCATAAAATCTGATGATAATGATGATGGTGATTGTTTTTGTTGTTGTTGTTGTTGATGATGATGATGGTGGTGGTGGTGGTTGTGGTGGTGGTTGTGTTGTTGACAATATAGATTAGGATTTAATTCAAAACTATGTACTTTACGTGTAATTCGATGTGGATTATATGGACATGGTGATAAATTAATACGTGATTGTTGTAAACTTTTAATAGTTCTATTATTATTATTATTATTAATGGTTTTTTCTAATGGACTAAGATTTTTTGGTGATTCTATAGGTGAATAAGTATGATCTTGAGAAATAAAACATTTATCTTGATATGAATTTTTTAAATGATGATAATATTGTTGATGTTTTATTCCTGTTATAAATTGTGTTGGTTCATGAGAATCAAGTGAATTATGAAAAAATTGTTTATAATTTAATGATGAATCCGGTGTTAAACTAGATGAATCAAATGCTGATGTTAAAGATAATGTTGGTCCACTAAGAAAACCACCCCATTGAATAGGAAATGAACATGTAGAATGTTGTAATGATCGACTATAAATAGCTGGAAGTTTACGAATACCACATTGTTTTAATAATGGACTATGTTTTTGTGGACTAGATAATGATAAATATTGATTAGTTGGTGTAGTATAAACAATTTCCATACTATGTGATTGTCTATTTTGCCATGCATCTAATGGTTTTAAATGATGTGAATATCGTCTTTCACCATATATATTATGATATGGTTGATGTGATACATTATAATCCATTGATAATGATGGATCTAATTTATGTGAATATTTTGTATCATATTTATATAATGTATCATTGATTGATTGATTAGGATGATCCATTGATATTTGAGGGGATTTTTTTATGTTTACTAATTTATGTAATGATTGGGATGTATTAGGAGTACTCATTGTTGTTAAGATTAGTTTATTTTTATTCTCATCAGATAAAGTATGAGTTAAACGATATTTCTCTGATAATGTTGTCATATTTGATGATTTAGATAATTTGATTTTCTCTGTAAAACTATATCTTTGATTAGGATTAATATTATTTGTATTATACATCATTGATTGATGATTATCATTATTAGATAGATTATATGAATATAAATATTTATCTTTTATACAATCTGATTCTTTAGGTGAATGATCACAATTTCTTTGTAAATGATCATTATTGATCATCAATGGTAATGTATGATCTGTATAATCATTCATTATTTGATTATTATTATTATTATTACTACTACTACTATTAGGATTAATAGTAGTACAGTTTCTATATTGATTAATAGATGATTTTTGAATTGATTTCAATTGTTTATGATTGTTTATAGGATTAATATTATTATTTTGATATGATCTATTATGATCTAATAAAGATAAATTGATTTTTTCATCGATTTTATTTCTATTATTATTATTATTATTATTATTATTATTATTATTATTATTATTATGATAATCAATAATTTCTGGTTGTTTATCATGAATACTTTCATAATAATAAGAAGGTAAATATTCATCCATACTATTTTTAGTAATCAATGAAGATTTCATTTGTGAACTATCTATTGATTGATTTAAACTTTTATGAAATAATTTTTCAATAGATGATTGATGATAATCTGTTACTGGTCCATCAAAACTATGCGGTTGTGGTGTAACTATTTCTGGTGGTGGTACTCTTTGTTCTTCACCACTACTTACATGAGATATTGGAATTCTTCTTGTTCGATTATTTCTTTTGTTTAAAATAAAAAACAGAAAAAAAAACAGAAACAGAATAGAAATTTTTGAAATAAATAATCAGTAGTTATAGATTCAGATTGTGATATTCGATGAGATGGTCTTAATTCTGAATGAATATACGTTCTTTTTTGTCAAGATTCTATAAGTGATAGGTTGATAAGAATAATAATTATTATTAATTTAGATGTTGTGGAGATTGTCAAGTTTTTAATTGAGATCATGAATCGATTGATGTCAGACCACCATTGAAAAGTTGGAAGCATTGGACGGCCATTTCGTCCAATTGTGGGATTCTTCAGTGGCAGTGCTCATCCATGATCCCTCTCGCGAGATTTTAACCCAGGGTCTTCAGTTTAGCGCTCGAACGTTTAACCTACTCGACCACTGCGCTGACCGGCATCCAACGGTGTTAATGTCTAACTTCAACCAATCCACGAAATTCCGTGACCATCTTCCATTGTACTGAGATAGACAGCTGTTTTTACCCCTACACGGATTAGCTCCACTGGTCACAACTTCTCATCAAAACTCGGAGAATTTTCTCACGAAGCTAGTCACTAGTGAGCACTGCTGAGGAGTCCCACAATAAGACGAAACAGCCGTCCAGTGCTTTCAGGTTTTCAATGGTGGTCTAACATCAATCGATTCATGATCTCAACTATAAGCTAATTTATTAGAAATAAAAAAATTAAAAAAAATTAATGATAATCATAAAACCTACAGAGTTTTTCCTTGTATTGTTCTAGTAACAGTTTCTTTTAACCATGATTCTAAATGTTTTTTTACAGGTTCATGATCATGTGGTAAATCATTAAATGTACAATTATCATGTATACCATTCGATGTATATACTTTTGATTGAATATTATTATTATTATTATAATCATGTATAGAATATTCTTTATTAAATGTTCTATTTTTGATTATTTTGCTACAATCATTTTGTGAACTTGAACTGGTACGTCGAGCTTTTACTCTTTTAAATTGAATACAATATTGATTTTCTAGGAAGGTTAGAAAATAAAAAAAAGGTAAAGTTTTATAATATTGTATTATTAAAGAATAAATGTCTTTTTGAAACAGACCTGATGTATATATATGTATATGTAATGCATGTCCCCAAATGCCCCGGTATGGCCGAGAGTGGGGAGAGTCTGCTCTCCCTCTCCAAATACTCTCACACGACCACGAGTACACAGCCTCTGTCAGGGAAGTCTTACTCACTGACTTCTCGCATCACGGGTGTTGTTTACGAAAATGAGAGGACGAAAAGCGAATGTCCGGCACGGGCTTTAACCGGATCGCAAACCAATGGTGCACATGGGCTGGCTCCAGTATCCTGAAGGAACAAATGGTGTATGAACCAATCGTTGGTCACTGGCTACCATGGGACTGCATCTCCTTACGTTGCTCCACTGTCTTGTGGATCAAACCTTTAGGTCAAAGGCTCGGAGTGTGGCCTCCTACGAAGTTAGACATTGACACCGTTGGATGCCGGCTAAGTGGTCTAGTGGTTAAGTGCTCGCGCACGAAACCAGTAGGTCGTGGGTTTGAATCTCGCAGGGGGATCGTAACCATTGAAATTACTGCAATCTCCATAAAACCCCTTCTAACAGGTAATTATGACCTGTTTTTTATACTATTTGGTTTTTGTCAGAAATGTGAATTTGAAATCTCTAGGGGGAGAGGGAGAGCTGATATTCTCCCTCTCTCTCTCTCTCTAGTGGATTTGATATCGTGTTATCCAGGTTCATATTTAGAGTGGTTACAATTGATCAGAATTAAGAAGGATATATATAACAATGGTCACTACCTAGTGATTAATTATTTGTAAATGTATTGTTATTACATCAACTGTAACTCGACACTTTACAGTGAATGATCTTACCAATACAGAAAGGATGATTATGATATATCTATATCATAAGAGTTGGGAAATTCACTATTCAATCATATATTATTGTAATAGATGAGGATACAGGTGAGGATGATCAAATGAATCGTAATACAAAATTGCAAAGTATCTTGGTAAAATATGCACACCATACATTTAATACTTCATTTGTCTTTCATATTATGTATGATTCTTTCAATCCATAATTCCTTTCTAATTGCGTTTTCTACTTCTGATTAGTGTTACATACTACTTATATCGATAGACATAAGTAGAATATATTACAGTAATGCTTAATCCACTTTTGTATACTTTATATTATCTATTGCAATACAACGATTATCGACATAGAACTGTACAGTTTGATGGTGAAGTTGTTTACTGCGATATTCCTTGTTTTTGAACACTCTTTGAGGATTGGCGAGACCATAATTTATGAACGACCTTTGATTGAATCTTAAGAGACGCTGAGAAATATTGGTCAATCAGAAAACCTTTAGTATACAGTAAAAGTATATTATATAAAACTAAAGAATTAAAGTGGTTACACTTCTTCTACATGGTTCAAATACTTGTCAAGGTTAGAAAGAAGTTCAGAGGTTCTTAAATCCTAATACATACGCTAGAGGAAATTATTTGTATGACTCCATAATAATCGGCGTTTTGAGTCGTGATAAGGTCGTAAAACGTCTTTCAGTATCGAACACATAACCAAGTCTATGCAGTCATATGTATTCTCTCCAATCATTTGTATGTATTGTAGTACCTGGTTGCAGTCAGTGTTACTGGCACTTTTATTATCCAATTGGCGATAATTGTCATAATTCACCTTAATCTCAATCTACATCGAGCAAAAAACAATCCTATGCTAGCCAGCTTCTTCCTCCAATACATATTACATTGAAAGACAATATCATCACGGTAGTCTGCACAAGTCATGTGATTACCATGATCATAAATAAGATAAACTTCTTAATAGTCCCACCATTTTTTGTATCCGCTTAATTATCACATTTTCTCTAAACATCCTCTGTGAATTGATAGTACGTGAGCATCAGATACTGAAATTGATGTCATGATCTTGAAATCCCCCCTCCCCATCCAAACGTTTCAAATCAACTCATCCATACATGATAGTCTCACCAAACAAAACGCCTTACTGTTACAGTTATTATATATTTATAATTCACTTACCAGGTATATCATTATAACCTAAATTATAATTCATATTATTATTATCCTTATAAATTTGTGTAGAAGTAGATAAGATTGTTTTATATGGATCATTTATTGTATTATTATTATCATCAATTGGTTCATCTAATGTATCATATATTAAATTAGCTGAACGGGTCATATAAGCTCGACGATTTATTGATTTTATTATAGTATTATTATTGTTATTATTTAAATTAAGATCAGATGATTTAATTATATTTTGTTCATTATTGATCCTTTGTAAATGATGATGATGATGATGATGATGATGATGATGATGGTGAGATTTTATTCCTGTGGATGGATCATGATTAGATAATACGGGTTGAATGGATTTTGATTGATTGATTTGATCAATAATCGATGATGATGATGATGATGAAGATGTTGATAAAATTGTATGTGTTCCTTGAAGTTGATTATTATGTTGTTTAACATGAATTAGATTATCATTTAATTGATAATGTTCAATAGATTGTATTAATGATTCTGTTTTAGGAGTTATTAATTTAATTTTATGTATATGTAGATTATTATGTTCAGATGAAGAATTAGAAGTTAATCTATAAATACAATAAAGATATTCATTAAAAAGTAAAATAATGATAAGACTATAATTTATGGAAGACTGTTTAAACGATACTAAAGTGACCATGAAAGTGTTCAGTTAATAACTAAAACTAAATGAAAGTTATAAATTAGTGTGAAGAATTTGAATGATGATTTATAGTTGATTGTTAAGGTTGGAGTCCGTCGGTGACTATTATAACCAATGATTGGAAACTCTTGGTGATATAGTTCAGAATCGATTATAATGGTGTCGGTGTATACACTCTTTGTCTTCCTTTAAACTATGATGTTAAAATCACTTCATATCTTTCTTTCTACGAACTAATTCTTTCTTTCTGTACTATCTCCTTATATGCAATCTTTCTTTAATATATTACCATCATTGAATTGATTACTTCTATGAATCCGGCGTTGATCTTGGTATGCTAATGTGGTATGGCAACTTAGACCGAGCATATATGTATCTGGTGCTACGTTGTAGCTGACTGACTGACTGGTTAAGGTTAGAAATTAGATTTACGGTTATTCATCACGAACTGGCATCAGCTAAAATGTCGAAATGCTGTTTAGCTTAATGGATGAGTGAATTTTGTGTCAAAATCCGAGACCTATTATTTTATATCTGATTGGTTCGTCCATAAAATATAGTCTCGCCGAAATAACTATGGAAGAATTCTAAGAAATGTTTATATGTTTAATCATTTGAATATTTTTAGGTTGAATATAAGAATATTCTAGAATATCATTAGCTTAAATCATGAAGACACTCAGTGGTCCAATAGGTTAAGCGTTCGCGCGCGAGACTGACAGGTTCTGGGTTGGAATCTAGTGAGGCGGTATCGTAGGTGTGCACTGCCGATGAGTCCCACAATAGTAAGAAACGGTCGTCCGGTGCTTCCAGGTTTTCAATGGTGGTCTGAGATCAATCGGTTCATGATCTCAATCAAAAACTTATAAGTCTCCACAACCCCATACTAAGAATTAATGAATATTAGACCAGTATTAAGAACTTGAAAGCACTGAACGGCCGTTTCGTTCATAAGTAATCCAGGATGTAGTTTATGTCACTATAACCCATAAAGTTAAATACCAAAATGTCGTGTAGTAATAGCATTGTGGTTTGTGCTACTTATATGTAGATATAAGTAGTATATGATGTTAGTCGTGAACAGAATGTCTGGCAGTAGAGAGAGACAAGAAGATCGAACAGTAAAGAATGAAAACAGAATGCAATTTGTATAAAAACGCAAGAACAAAGGAAGTCTGAGTCAATTTGAGACCATTGATGAAGATTTCGCAAATTGAGCATTTACTATATGATTGTTGAATGTTACTAACAAGTTTTGTAATTTGTTGTCAAATGCATTCGATTGTCACCACTGGTGTTTAATTCGCTACATTACTTTCACTAGAATGTTGAATAAGATACAAGTGTTGAAACCAACCAATCAGTATGCTCCAGAGATTAAAGTAGCATTGATCAATAGTATCAAACAAAACTGATCAGTGAGTGGAGAAAGAGAACAGCTCAATATTGGCCCATTTAGTACAAACGGATCATAGTGCCAGTATGAACTAATCTTTTTCAATTATTTATAAGGTCAGTAATTTTTTGTCTAAGCTTGTCAGATTTAAAGTTCTTCAAACGGCTTAAGTACTAATCATCCGGATGAAGAAACCGGAGTTATGTGTACAGAAGAAATATCTTCAACCGTTTCTTCTCCCCTGGTCAACCTTAAGGCTAATTATTCAATAGCAATCTTAAATATTGAGTGACCTAATTTGAATATTGTACTTACAACCTTTCATAGTCAAATGTAATTGTCTCTGTTATGTTGATTCACAAATTTTTAACATATTTTTATTATAACTATTGGTTAAACATCACTATTAATGTCCGCAAAACATGATTCATTTATTTGGCATTATTATTATTTTCACACAATATAGTCTCAACTTATCTGTTATGTCCCAATAAGCATAATGTATGGTTACTTGTGGGATCCATTTATGGATCAATATTATGCGTATACATTTTTATCGTATTCGTGTTCCTCGTATTATAAGCTTCAGTTTGACCTATGAACTGTTATTGTACGATTTACCATTCTTGAGTTATGCCGTTTGTCAATTACTATCTTCCACATTCAAAGCCACATTTACCTAATTCTTGTATAAATATTGTTTCCTATTTTATGGTACGATGTAGTCTGGCTGGTTGGTATATAAACCGAGTATGTTTGAAATACATGATTCATATTTCAGAGGCTCGGGTTGGTGTTCTGAACTTAATTGGCTAGGTTAGACAGGAAGCAGGATCGATAAGAACTCTAAACTGCTTATACGGGTTTTATGCGTCATTGGTCCGATCGATAATTCACTGCTCCCTAATTGGCGGTTACAAGTTATAACACGATCTGACCCATATTTATTCTGAGCATGGTTCTTAAAAATTTCACTTATGAAATAAGTTAACATTCCATATGGATCATATCAACATTAACAATTATATTTTGAAGCGAACGGTACTGGTTTCGAATTCCAGAGTGAACATCAACTGTGGGATGTAGATACATCCAGTTGACCAGTCTCAAATAGGACGAAACGCGCATCAAACTGGATTCCATTACTAGCTACCATCCATCTTTGCTTATAATGCTTGTGAATTAAAACCATATCTAGGCAATCCGTACAGCATGGACATATATCAATAACAGAGGGATGAATCGCAGTCCTAAACAACAATGGGAAGATACCAGTAAACAACACCAAGTAAATATATTCTAGTTTGTTTGACAATCTTAAATTCACATACTTTAAACGATGTACTTTACCCTTAACCTAACCATTTTTCGGATTATTAATTTGAATATATGAATTGTAGAACCTGAAGTGAATTTACCGAAAAGACTCTTCTTCGTTTCAGTATTAGTATTTTAATATAATAAATGAAAACCTCAATAAGGAACATATAATATAGGTTTCTAAGTATTTATGCCTTTTGGAAAGAATCAAATCAGAAATGCTTATTGATGATGATTGATTTACGCCTGTTACTCCTCGAGAAGGAGCATAGGCCGCTTACCAGCATTCTTCATCCAACCCTGTCCTGGGCAATCCTTTCCAACTCTTTGCAGTTGTTATTTATCCTTTTCATATTCGCTTCTATTTCCCGAAGTAATGTGTTCTTTAGCCTTCAGATTTTCTGCTTCCCTTCATGATTCCAAGTTAACGCTTGTCTCATGATACAATTTGCTGAATTCCTCAATGTATGTCTTATGCATTTCTTAATTTCCTCTTCATCTGGAAGCTTAGTTGATTCTTTCCCATAAATGGCTGTTGCTGATAGTATTCAACTAATAGAATTTGAGTATCTTGCATAGACAACTATTGATAAATACTTGTACCTTATATAATGTACTTATGTAATATCGTTTAAAAGATTGTATTAATGAAATTGCTTACTTACTTACTTACTTACGCCTGTTACTCCTAATGGAGCATAGGCCGCCGACCAGCATTCTCCAACCCACTCTGTCCTGGGTCTTTTTTTTCTAGTTCCATCCAATTTTTGTTCATTTTTCTCATATCTATCTCCATTTCTCGGTGTAATGTATTCTTTGGTCTTCCTCTCCTCTTTCGGCCTTCAGGATTCCATGTGAGGGATTATCATGTGACACACGCAGTTCGGTGCTTTCTTCAATGTGTGTCCTATCCACTTACAGCGCTTCTTCCTGATTTCTTCCTCAACTGGGATCTGATTTATTCTCTCCCATAGTAGTTTGTTGCTAATACTGTCCGGTCAACGAATCCGAAGTATTTTGCGTAGACAAGTGCTAATAAACTTCTATATCTTCTAGATGATGGCTTTCATAGTTTTTCAGGTTTCCGCCCCATACAGTAGAACTGTCTTGACATTTGTATTGAAAATTCTGACTTTGGTGTTGGTTGTCAATTGTTTTGAGTTCCAGTTGTCCTTCAGTTGTAAGTATGCTGCTGTTGCTTTGCCGATCCACGCCTTCACACCTGCATCAGATCCACCGTGTTTATCAATGATGATGGCCATATATGTAAAGGTTTTTACATCTTCCAAAGCTTCTCCGTCAATTGTGATTGGATTGTTATATGCTGTGTTGTATCGAAGAATCTTGCTTTTCTCTTTGTGTATATTGAGACCTATTGCTGCTGAGGCTGCTTCCACACTGGTTGTCTTCTCCTGCATTTGTTGTTGCGTATGCGATAGAAGAGCCAGATCATCTGCGAAGTCTAGATCATCCAATTGCATCCTAGCTGTCCACTGTATCCCGTGCTTCCCTTCAGATGTTGACGTCTTCATGATCCAGTCGATCACCAGGAGAAAGAGAAAGGGTGAGAGTAAGCAACTTTGCCTGACACCGGTCTTTACTTCGAACGACTTTTTCAACTATCCTCCATGCACAATTTTGCAATTTAATCCATCGTAGGAATTCTGTATGATATTGACTATTTTCTGAGGCACGCCGTAGTGTCGAAGAAGCTTCCATGGTGTTGTTCTGTCCATGCTGTCAAATGCTTTTTCGTAGTCAATAAAATTACAATACCAAAAATAAATTATGATAATAATAATAATAATAATAATAATAATAATAATCAATCTATAAAATCAATAATCATTACCTTTCTCTATAATTAATTTCTGATTCAATATCTAAATCAATAAATCCATTCGATTTTTGTCTTTGTAATGGTCTACGTTTATATCTATTATTAATATTCCTATTTATATTATTATTATTATTATTATTATTATTATTACTGATATCGTTTTTAATATTATTATGATGATGATCTTCTGTAAGATAAGATATATCTAATGAATTAAGATCATTCATTGATATTCTTTCACTTGAATTTATCATACATTGAATTGAATTTTGTGGATAGAAGAATTGATTATCATTATCATTATTATATAATCTAATTGATGATCTATCATTATAGGTATACATAGTTTTATTGATTGATAACTTGTTACTATGTCGACGATTAATTCCTATTGTTGTTGTTGTTGTTGTCGATGATGATGATGTAGATGTAGATGTAGTTATAGATGTACATGGTAATGATGTAGATGTACAAATATGTGATCGATAATATTTTGATGATTTAGTTGTATGAAGATTTGGAAAATAATTAGATAAATGAAAAAATATACGTCTTAACCATGGATAACAAATATGTTTTTCAATAATTGTTTTACTATAATTATATTGACGTTTTATACATTGTTTTGTTATAATAGGTTTATAACAATAACATAACCAATAAATAGATTGTTTATATTTAGATGATTTATTTTTAATGAATTTGTTTGTATTAAATGATTGTTGAAAATGTTTTATTGTTTCATATTCACTAAAAGGAATTAATCATAAAAGTAGTTTTAAATGTTTAAAGTGAATTCAAGTTTCAATTATTGAAATTATGAGTTCAATGAAACTAGATTACCTAAAAGTATTAGATAGTTCGTTCCCTTCCCTTCGTGAGATTTAAACCCAGGAACTATCAGTTTTGCATGGAAGCGCTTAACCATTAAGATCACTGAGTTCGTCGGCATCTAAAATTTCTACAAAACCCCTTTCTGATAATAATCATCTGCTCACTAGTCACTAACTTCAAGAGATACTCCTAGAGTTCTACTGAGAAGTAGTGACCAGTAGAGTTCAACCATGTCTGTTGTGAGATAGTAACTCATTGAAAACAATGGTGGATGTGTCGCTCAATTTCGTGGATTCATTGAAGTTAGATGCTGGTTGGCTCAGTGATCTAGTTGGTTAAGCGCCTGGCGTGAGACTGATAGGTTCTGTGTTCGAATCTCGCCTTGGGGGGCGAGATCGTGGATGCGCACTGCTCAGGAGTCCCATACTAGGACGAAACGGCCGTCCAGTGCTTCCAGGTTTTCCATGGTGGTCTAGCTTCAATTGATTCATGATTTCAACTATTGAAATTACCAATTCTCCACAAAACCCATTCTAGTAATAATCGACTAGGCTATTGGAACACGGTTATTTAATTAACATGTTTATTGTTAAATAGTTTGAAAATGTTAGCAAAAGGGTCGCGATTACATTTTTGTTAATAAGTTATATATAAAATTTCTAAGAAACTGATTATACTAGCTTCAATCAACTCATGATTACAACTATTGAAATTACTAATTCTGCACAAAACCCTTTCTAATAATGAAATAATTGTTGAAAAACGTTAATGATTTGAAATTCACTAAAAGAATTTTTAAAAACAATTATTAATGAAATTTTGAAAATAAATTCAAGTTTTAATAATTGAAATTATGAGTCAATTGAAGCTAGACTACGTGGAAGTATTGAACAGTTGTCTTGTCCTAAGTATGGGACTTCTCAATGACAGTGTGTGCATCTACGATCTCGCCCCCTTCCCTCAGAGAGATTCAAACTTAGTATCTATCAGTTTTGCATATGAGCGCTTAACCATTAAGCTCACTGAGTCGGTCGGCATCTAACAGTGTTCATGTGTAAAATCTTCACAAAACCCCTTTTGATAAAAATGAAAGCTTGTCAACTTAAGGTTATTTAATCATAAAATAAGTATCACATTTTAATTTCACATAATTCGGCATTTCTTCCTCTTCTTCTCATCTCCGTTACGGTCAGTATCAGACTATATAGTTAAGAAAACGCTAACCGCAAACCTTTAACAATCCAGTATATACATTTCAAATATAGAAAGAGAGAGAGAGATCAATGGGAATAGTATTGGAAAAACAAAGAATTTACCACTTAGTAGTAGTAGTAGTAGTAGTAGCTAGAGTATCATGAAAAACCTGTAAGCATTGAACGGTCGTTTTGTCCTATGGATGTTAAACTCAAACATTTATCTAATCATTTAAAGGTGTCTCATGAAAAATAATGATTTTTTATTTTTTTTTTTATAAAGTTTGGATTATTTCTATTATTATCTCTATGGTAATAATTATGACATGTTCATTAATAATTTACTTCGAGAGATTATCTTAATGAGAAGTCTTCATCGATGAGATTCCGATGTATCAAGTGTAATTTAGTGACCTATAGAACACAAATATAAGATAATCAAGCAATATAATGAATGGATTAAAGTTAAACGCAAGCAACATTGAATTTCGGCTCTAAATAAAGTGTTTGCAGTCAAGATCAAATGTTTTGAGTTCACTCTTGGCCTATGTGCCCTGTGTAATGTATAACCTGATGATACCGCCAATTAGAGAACAGTGAATTGTTGATTGGACCAAGAACGCATAAAACCCATATAAGCAGTCTAGAGTATTTATCTGTCCTGCTTCCTGTCTAGCCCAAACTGTTAAGTCCAGAACTTCAATCTCAGCCTCCACTACATGAATAATTATATTTCAAACATACTCTGTTTATATACCAATTAGACAGACCACATCGTACCATAAAATAGGAAACAACATTTATACAAGATTTAACCAAATGTGGCTGTGATTATGGGAGGTAGTAATGAATAGACAGGGCATAATTCAAGAATAGTAAATCGTATAATAATAATTCATAGGTCAAAATAAAGTTCATAGTATTGATCCACAAATGAATCCCAAAAGTTACCATTCATTTTGCTTATTGAGACATAATAAATCCTTTGTGGAATTGTAAGTTCATAATGTTAAAGAGTTTTATACTAAAATGAAAATACCATTTAATGTTTCCTAATGCCAAAACAGATATCCAATTTAAGTTTGGTTCGTGATAACATCTAGGATGCAGCTAGACGATCTAGACTTCGCAGATGATCTGGCTCTTCTATCGCAAACAACAAATGCAGGAGAAGACAACCAGTGTAGAAGCAGCCTCAGCAGCATAAAGTCACAATATACACAAAGGGGAATGCAAGATTCTTCGATTCAACACAACATACACGAATGCAATCACAATTGACGGAGAAGCTTTGGAAGATGTAAAAGCCTTTACATATTTGGGCAGTTTCATCGATGAACACGGTGGATCTGATGCAGATGTGAAGGCGTGGATCGGCAAAGCAAGAACAACATATTTACAACTGAAGGACATCTGGAACTCAAAACAATTGACAACCAACACCAAAGTCAGAATTTTCAATACAAATGTCAAGACAGTTCTACTGTATGGGGCGGAAATCTGGAAAACTAAGAAAGCTATCATCCAGAAGATACAGGTGTTTATTAATAGCTGTCTACTCAAAATACTTCGGATCCATTGGCCGGACACTATCAACAACAATCTACTGTGGGAGAGAATAAATCAGATCCCAGTGGAGGAAGAAATCAGGAAGAAGTGTTGTAAGTGGATACGACACACATTGAAGAAAGTACCGAACTGCGTGTGTCACATGATAAACCCTCACATCGAATCTTTAAGGCCGAAGGAAGAGAGGAAGATCAAACAACACATTACGCCTGGGAAATAGAGATAGATATGAGAAAAATGAACAAGAATTCGATGGAACTAGAAAAGGTGGAGGACAGAGTGATTTGGATAGTGCTGATCGTTGGTCTATGCTCCATTAGGAGTAACAGGAGTAAGTAAGTAAGTAAGTAAGTATGTAAGTGAGTCGTGATAACAATAACATTCAATACATTTCTCTAATACCATTAATTAATATTGAAAAACAAAACAAATAAGGAAAATTAAGGTTTGGTGATTTAAAGTTGAATATAGTAATTCATCCATGGTAAACAAGTCAAGGAACTCTTGAAATGTTTTATAATTTTAACTGATTACTTAATTCCAATATCTTATAGGATAGGTTTCTAAAAAAAGGATCACTACTAATTTATGTTATCAATTATACTACTATGATGGATAATAAATAAAATTAAAAAAAAATTTAATCTAAGTTAACATTTATGATTCCTTCACAATCAAAATTACTCGGTGAAATTATCATGTATCGATGATCTTTGAGCAACGTTATAATGACGTTGAGATTGTTCACTTAATAACTGGGACTAAATGAAGATTATGAAATATTGTAAAGGATTAGAATTGTAATTTTTATTTGATGATTAAGGTTAAGAATCATTGGGTAAGTAATAGTGAGAGGTTAGACAAGCAGGATATTAGGAAATGATGGTAAATTAGTTGATGAGGTTGTTAATCTTCATCGACTAAGATGGTTGGGCCACGTGTTGCGTATGCCTAAACACCGATTACCATGACGCACAATGTTGACTAGTGTTGGAAATGGTTGGAAAAAAGTTAGGGGTGGCTAAACCTAAACATGACATCAGTTCTCGAAATCACTAACTTTTAATCTGAGCCATATTGGTAGATATATACCACTTGGTTAGGGTCCAGCGGTGACTATTGTAACCAATGATTGAAGACTGTGTGTGATATGGCTAAGAATCGATCACAATGGCGTCGGTGTATACACTCTTATTGTCTTCCTTTAAATTAATAGATTAAAATCACTTCATATCTTTCTTCCTACGAACTAACTCTTTATTCCTGTACTATCTCCTTATATACAATCTTTATTCTATATATTACTACCACTGAATTAACTACTTCTATGAATCCGGTGTTCATTTTGTTGTGCTAATGCGGTATGGCAACTTGGACCGATGCATATATGTGCCTGGTTGTACGTTGTAGCTGACTGACTTAGGAATTAAATTTACTGTTATTCATCACTAACTGACATTGTGGTGTGCGCTACTTATATTGATATAACTAGTATATGACGCGAGTTAGGAACGTAATGTCTAGCAGCAGAAGATGGGGGGGGGAAGATCAAGAAAGGAAGAGCGGGAAAACAATGGAATTTGTATGAAAACGTATGAACGATGAAATGTCAGACAATCGATTGATGTTTGCAACAGAAACAGTCAAATTTGATGTGATGGATTGATATTTTGCAAATTAACCATTTAATATATGGTTCTCAGATTTTATTGAGGTGCTCTGTAATTATGTGCCTAAATACATTCGATTGTCCCCATTGGTGTTCTTGTTCACTATAACATCGTCTATAATGTGAAAACTTAATTTATCCAAACCCGAGACCTGTAATCTCATGACTGATTAGTTTATCTATAAATGATAGTCTCACCAATAAGAGAATTGACCGGATTTATAAAGTACAGAGTGTAGTGAACAAGTACACCAGTGGGGACAATCGAATATATTTGACAATAAATTACAGAACTTGTTAATAAAATCTAACAACCATATAATTAATACTTAATTTGCAAAATGTTCATCCATTGTCTCAAAATGACTCAGACTTCCTTTGTTCATGCATTTTCATACAAATTACATTCTGTCTTCATTCTTTACTGTTCGATCTTCTTGTCTTTCTGCTGCCAGACCTTCAGTTTACGACTCACGTCATATACT